CTCTTGTGCTGCCAAAGTATGATGTATATGTTACAAACTAAGTGTTTAGACTCCAAAAAACTTCATTACTTACAACCTCCGCTTGTAAATTTCTAGTATTCCATAGATGTTTGCTAAGCAACTATTTCTTCAATGATAATGTACTTACGCAGAATTTTACTTTTCTGTATCTTTAGTTAATAATATCCTGAATGCCAACACAAGGTCTTATTATACGACCACAGATAGGAAGGAAATTTGCTATTTGCTTGGGGCTGTTGATGCTGCTCCCACGGCTGCTTCTACTGACCTCTCATTTTGTCATGAATGGCTCTCAGGCAATTGTAATAAGCTAGGTCCTTCCATTACCCTGGTCCAATTTGCCAGCCATGGCAAGGGCTCACTAACCTTTGGCGTGAGGTTCCTGATATAAGTTGATTAAAAAATGCTGCCCCCTAAGCCTTCCCATACCCCAAAACCTTCCCATACCCCAAAACCCCTAACCTGACCCTGACCTAGGCTTGCTGTTTAATAAAAGATCCAATGAGGAATCCAAAAATGCTTTGTAATATAGCTATTTTGTAAATTCATATTTTACTGGAACCTCTTATGATATTGTAAATAATTTTGTAAATTCATAGTTTTGATGTTAGAATTTCCTAAAGCTAGTTGATATATTTTCTGCATAGTTTTCCAAATTAAGATCTAGGAAAACCCAAAGATATCATAGAATTATAGTCCTTTGGCTCGTGAATATTATAAGTGTAGAAAGCTTAGCCTACAGGCTTATCAAAGGAATGAAACATGAATAAAAATAATTCTTCATAATATTATTTTTGAAAAAATTACAGGAAAATTCGTGTAAGAAGTGCTGTAGAACACTGGCTGGTAAATGTAGAGAAAAGCATGTTTGATGTGCTAAAAAAGTAAGTACAATTTTCAAATCCTAAAATTATGTTATATATGTATATTTAAACTTGGTTGATTATCCACTAATCTAAGTGAAAAGTATCTAGAGAAATAGATGGAGTAAAGTCCTTTATGAAATGGGTTTTGATATAACGTGATGGCACATGATTAAATGGAGAATAACCATTTATACAGTGTAGATGTCAGTTTGAGAGTGTAATCATGGATAACATTCAGGCAGTTTTTGTGTAGTTTGAGATTCCTGAGTATCTGAAAACTGGGCAGGATCTGAACTCATCTCTGCTTGCCTTCAAAACGCCAGTGCTCAGTAGACCTCCAGTTGCAGCCCACTTCACCACTCTGCACTTTGTCTCACTTTTGCTTCCTGGAATCGTTTACTTGGTTTAGTCTTTTTAATGTTCTCCTTTTTATATTTTAATCTATCATTGCATTATGTTTAGAGTGAAGAAAGAAGATCAGAGTGTAAACTTTTAAAACTAATTTAAGGGGGCCAGCCCTGTGATCGAATGGTTAAGTTCACACACTCCGTTTCGGTGGCCCAGGGTTCGTCAGTTGGGATCCTGGGTGCAGACCTAGCACAGCTCATCAGGCCATTCTGTGGCAGCATCCCACATAGAAGAACTAAAGTGACTTACACCTAGCATATACAACTATGTACTGGGGCTTTTGGGAGAGAAAAAAAAAGGAAGGCTGGCAACAGATGTTAGCTTAGGGCCAATCTTCCTCACCACAAAAAAAGCATACCTTTCAAAAAAAAAAACAGGGGCCAGCCCCATGGCTGAGTGATTAAGTTTGCGCGCTCTGCTTCAGCAGCCTGGGGTTTCGTCTGTTCAGATTCTGGGTGCAGACTCAGCACCGCTCATCAAGCCATGCTGAGGCGGCATCCCTCATAGCACAACCAGAAGGACCTACAACTAGAATATACAACTGTGTACTGGGGGGGCTTTGGGGAGAAGAAGAAGAAGAAAAACAAAAAGAACAAGTATGGTTTATAAAACAAAACAATCCAAAAACTAATTTGACTAGAACAGTCTTTTACATTTCTAATTATTATTGATTATAGATAGGCTGTTTGTCTTCAAGTTTTAATATCGATATTTATAAATATAATCCTGAATGCCAACACAAGGTTTCTAGAGCAAAGCAGATTATTATTTACTTACATAAATAACCACAGTGGCTTTCCTTTGCCCCAATTCTTACCCAGGGGGTGATGTAAAAAGAACCAGCTGTCATCTTACATGTGAGGAAGCTACATTTCCAGGCAAGAAACACTGGAAAAATGCAGTTGGGTATTGGATAGACAAGCACATTTTCAACTGTTGCTCGGGGATGTTTCTGGTTAGACAGTCTCATCATTGCTAACGATGATAGTCCTGCCTCTTTCTTTACAATTCTTTTTAAAATGTCATTTTCATGTTGTTCTGCATAACACATGTTGTCCAGTACAGATGACAGTGAGCATCTTTCTTTTGTTCCCAATTTCACTGGGAAAGCTTCTAATGTCTCACCATTTGTTATGATGCTTAGGTTTCTGGAATATACCCCTTATCAAAGTAAAGAGTTATATTCTAGTCCTAATTTGCAAACTTTTTAATAATTAGAGGATGTTTAATTACATCAAATGGTTTTAATCAGTCTATTAAGAAACTCAATTACACTTTTGCCTTAATTTGTGGGCATCATGAATTACATTTGTAACTTTCCTTACGTTGAACTTTCCTTGATTTTCGTCTTCAGTTTTTGGTCTACTTACATTATTTCCTAGAAAACTATATTAAACATTTCCTACTTTTTTGTGGATTTATCAATTTCTTTTTTTAGTTCTAACATTTATTTTATATATATATATATATTTTTTTTTTTTTTGGTGAGGAAGATGGCCCTGAGCTAACATCTGTTGCCAATTTTCCTCTTTTTGCTTGAGGAAGATTGTCCTTGAGGTAACATCTGTGCCAATCTTCCTCTGTTTTATATGTGAGACACCACCATAGCATGGCTTGATGAGTGGTGTGTAGGTCTGTGCCTGGGATCTGAACCTGTGAACCCTGGGGTGCTGAAGCAGAGTGTACGAACTTAACCACTGTGCCACTGGGCCAGCCCCACATCTATCATATATATATATATTTTTAAAGATTTTATTTTTTCCTTTTTCTCCCCAAAGCCCCCCAGTACATAGTTGTATATTCTTCGTTGTGGGTCCTTCTAGTTGTGGCATGTGGGACGCTGCCTCAGCGTGGTTTGATGAGCAGTGCCATGTCCACGCCCAGGATTCGAACCAACGAAACACTGGGCCGCTTGCAGTGGAGCGCGCGAACTTAACCACTCGGCCACGGGGCCAGCCCCTATCATATATTTTGATGCTATGTTGTTATACATAAACCTTTTTAGTAGGGTGTACTTTTGATCAACATATCAGCATTTATACCAGTTAGTATTTTTTACTTAAATGCTATTTTAATATTAATAACTTGTCATACCTGTTTCCATGATCTCAAACATTTGCATCACAATGTATTTTTAACATTTCTGTGCCATGTTAATATTTCTTGAATCAAGTATAAAAGTGGAGTTTATTTTAATTTTTGCTTTTATTTTGTTTTACTTTTGCCAATATCAAAGTGTTTGTCGTCAGTGCTGGTGCGTCTGTTTGCCCTCTGCCCTTTCCTGTCTTGTTGTGTGTACTTGGGGTGCTCATGGTCACAGATGTATACCCTGGCTTCCTTTGCCCCCCAGCTTCCATTCAGGTAGGGCAGATGTGAGGCTCCCTCTCTGCCTCACTATGGTTTTGGCAGAATCTGTGTTCCTTTACCTAAAGCCACAGCTTTGACAGGTGGCCCCTCTCCAAAGGCTCCAGCCCTCACCAGGTTCCAGAAACATTGCTCCCCTTACCCCTTCGGGCCTAGAGGTGGTAACAGCTGCCCCACTGCTAGACCCAGGTGCTTCATCATCCCCATTGGGTCCCTCAACCCTGCCCTCATCTCTGCAGAGTCCCTTCATTACACTCTCTTCAAGTAGCCCTTTGAATGTGCTGTTTCCTGCTGACGTACATACTGCCTTTCAACATTTATTTTGATTCCCATCACATCTGGACTCACGCCTGCCATTGTACTGTATATTTTCTAATGACTGGGCTTTTGGTTTGGGATTTTTTTTCACTTACTATTGTTAGATTGAGTTTCTCTCTTTTGGTGTAGCTGTATCAAAATCATAAACATTTTCTTTTTTCTCTTAAAATGGTAATACACTTTATCATAGCCTATAATACATATCTTTAATTTGTCCTCAAAGACCATGTGTTACTTCATAATTCTCTTATATCACCTCCTCCATATTGTAATCCTTTAGGATTTTATTTCAAATTGCTGTTAGTTCTCTATTTATGGGTCACTAATTATCTAGGCTGAATAAATTTTTTGGCTTGTTTCGTTTTTGTTCATTACTGTTTCACAGGTCTCACACTTTAAAATTTATTTTCATTTTGCTGTATATATCTCCAAGTCATTTTTTCAGAAAGCATCTGAGGGTGGCAAATATTCTTATTTTACCCTCATATTTGCATGCTATTTTAGGTGAGAATAGAGTTAATTCTAAGTTCACATTCAATTTGTTGAATGCTAGCTCCCCAAAATATGACCGAAACAGTCTGTTGATGAGACAGAGCTGACTTCACTGAGTGAAGGAGAATACTCCTTGGACAGCTGAGAGTGCCTCGCAGCAGGAAGGATAAAACTGGAATATTTACTGAGATTTTGAAGTCTGCTTTAAGGCAGGTCTTTCAATGTGGGAATTTGATTAGGATTGGGTAAAGATCAGGATATAATAGTTTGAGATTGGTGAACACAGCAAAGCAAGATTTACCTCTTTATGCTGGGTTTTGGGAAAAATCATTATTTTTATTTTCACACATGATCATTCTGCAATTCAGCCAAAATGGTGAGGTTATTGTCTTAATAACACACTTAGTTTCCAAAAATAGTTTCTTTTACCTAGAAACCTTTTCTTGGCTTCTGAGTACATACTTGCACTATTCTCTTTGGAGATATTTTTATTTCATCAAATGTAACAGAACCTTGGTAGAATTATCTTACCAGAAAATGTCAACAGATGATTTTCATACTCCTAAGTCATGACTCTCATCTGGTTGAGTGATTGTCAGACACCATCAATTATAAGATGCACCCTGGTTTAAGAGAAATTAAAATGTCTTAGAATTGGTGAAGTCACTATTTGTTACTTTTGTTAGCACTGCTTCCCCATTTTAGTTTTTCGATTGGTAACCATTTGTGCTCTTTTTCATTGTATTAGTTTTCCTAAAACATTTAGTTATTCTGGTTGTCTGTTCATATTTGTGCTGGCAAGGTCCTCTTCTCCTATAAGCAAATATTAGTTTCTAACTGCAACAGCCTGCCTGCAGTGATTGCAGCTGACAACAGGATGTGCAGGACCTCGTCTATAAGTAGCTTATCTTGTAGTGCATAGAGGTTCCTCTGCATTTCTCCTGGAGGTCCCAAACCACCTGTGACACTTCACTGATACTCTAGTTCCAGCACTGTTTCAAATATTCCACTTCTTATGGAAAAATGCCAGGGTCAACTTCCTCTGTTTCCTTTCTTCCCCTCTCCCTCCCTCCCTCCTTTACTCCCTTCCTCCCTCCCTCCCTTCCTTCCGTCCCTCCCTCCTTTCTCTTCAGTCGTGTTTTAGGATATGTGGAGTAATTTCAGGCTCTACTCTGCTTCTCTCTCCAGCCCCAAACATTCACCCTAGGAGACGTCCACCGAGTACTTCTCTGCATTCTACCGGCAGCTCAGGATGGGGCCAGGGGGTGTTGGGAGAGGCAGAGGTGCACTGGTCTCCCGATTTAGAAAGCTCTCTCTTAATTAATTATCCTAAAGACCCACCTGGGCTCCCTCCTCCCCAGGCTCCCTCCTGCATTTGTTAAAGTTGGCAGTAGTGCTCTTTGGTTTCTCCACTCTTCTTTCTATAATTCAATCCAAATTTGCTTTCCATCTGGTAGAAATTTTTCAAGTTTCTGATGCTCTGTAACACACTTTCTTGTTTTCCAGTTCCTTATATATGTATATATATTTTTCGTAAATTTTCTATCATTTGAAGGAATATGGCTCAAGATGAAGACAGGATTGTTAAGTCAGAAATCTTGATACACTCTCTCCTGCTAGACTATGAAAAATCAGAATAAGTGTTTCCAAAACTCTGGAGGAAATAAAGAAAATATAGTGTGCGTGTGTGTATGTGTGTATGTATATAAATATAAACACAGAAAAAATAAGTATTAAATAGAAATAAGATCTTAATTAAAAGAAGATTTTATCAAAACAGAAAAGTAACTATATGCTGCTTGAGAGATATAGCAATGCAACCCAAAAGTTATGAATAAAAGTAGTAAAGATATTTCATGGAACAGCAAACCATAAGAAAACAAGGGCATTAAATAAAATAAAAGGTCATTTTAACTGATGAAAGATACGTTTCCCACTGATACTTCTTTGAAATATATAAAAAGTTGCTATAAACATATTTCTTCTCAGATAAATGATAATATCATTTGATAAATAAGAAAATAAAAAGAGATACCATCTGCAATTGCAGCAAAAATTAAAAGAATCAGCATTCATTTTAAATATTCAAATAAGATGTAAATAAATTTAATATTGATAAGTAAAAAACAAGTCATTTAGGTGTTAGAAGAAAATAAATGAAATTTAGCACTGAGAATTTCTAAAACATAATATCAGTAATAAAATATAAAGCAAATGATTGATCAAATTGACTATACAGAAACTTAAAACTTCTGTATGAGGGAAAAAACCCACCGTAACCATATTAAAACATATACTGTTGTCACATATTATCTTTGGTTTTAAATAAAAATATCTGGATATTTTTCATAAATCCTATTTTCTCCCTTATAATTAATTTTTAAAGCTAAATGAAGACTTTAGTGTTAAAATTCATCTGGTGGTTTCACCCCAGTACTCAATCTTGTAAAAATTATTTTAAATACTGATTTTGTCATTGATAGTATTAGAAATTCGAATAGTGTTCAAATACTGCATGGGTCATCTCCTAGTTTAACACAGTTTTACCATCTCAGAAACTCGATGGCCTCATAGGAAAAGTGCAGATGATGTTAAAGAGGAATTTAAGGAATATGCATTATGTACAAATTAAGGTTCTACTAACTCTATTTGGTCCCATACATAGACCTAAATTAAAACAAAAAAATCGGAGATACTAAAGGAATATTCCCCTGTGATCTTGTCATGCTTGATCATTAAATGGCCACAATCAATGATTAGACATAAATAATATAAATAAAATTGTTTGTTTATAGGTTTGTAAGTCAAGGGGTTGAAGACTGGAACTACCAAACTTTTTCCGTGTGGGTGGTATCTCATCCAGGACAAGTGGTACTCATTGTGGTAAGTTACTGCTGCTTTGATAGACAAGTATTTAGTTTGTGGCTACACTGCTAAGAAAACAAAGATTTTGAAATAAACCATCATGAAAGGCACTGATATGTGTAGCTTACTTTGAAATGCATCAAAAAATATGATGGATAGATGCATAGATAAGTGAGAAAGTAAATAAGGCAAAAAGTTAATTGCAGAATATACGTGGTGGGTATTCATTTTATAATTCCTTCAACTTTCCCATGGTTTTAAAAATTTTCATAATAAAATGTTGAATGAAAATAAATTATTTTCCTAGGAATATCACTATATTGCATTATATTCATTTTCCACTGCTGTCATTGAAAAGTTACTACAAATTTACTTGCTTAAAACAACACAAATGCATTATCTCACAGTTGCGTAGGTTAGAAGGGCAAACAGGTCTCACAGGCTACAATCCAAATGTCAGCAGAGCTGCCTTCCTTCTGGAGGCTCTAGGGGAGCCTGTTGCCTTGCCTTTTCCAGCTTCTGAGGCCACCTGCATGCTTCGGCTGGTGGCCCCTTCCTTCATCTTCAAAGCTAGCAACGTTGCATCTCTCTGACCATTCTTCTGTGGTCGTATCTCCTTCTGCTCACAGGCAGAAGAAGTTCTCAAATTTTAAGGATACATGTGACTACATTGTGCCCACTTAGATAATCCAGAATAATCTCTCCATCTCAAGGTCTTAATTTAATCAGATCTGCAAAGTCCCTTTTGCCATGTAAGGTAACATATTCACAAATTCTGGGGATTAGCACATGAATATCTTTGCAGGGAGCCATTATTCTGCATACCACATTCATGTTTGTTAAACCTAATTACTGCTTTTCTGGGGCTCAAAAGAGAAAGAGAAGAAAAACTAGGTATGTGTGATAACAAGAAACCCAAAATACACAGTTCTTTTGAGAAGAACTAGTGAAGTAATGGTTGAAACACTAGAAGTCGTGGATGAAGCCAGGGGAGTAGTCAGATTTCCCCTGTAGAGTGTGTAGAATGAAAGAAGAAGGGCAAGGGAAGACCTCAGGGAACATCAACATTTAGGGAACAGGCAAAGGAAGGGGACCCATGAAGAGGACTGAAGAAAGAAGGAAAATTATGAGAGTTGTCATGGAAGCTAAAGGAAGAAAGAAGGAATTCATTTGTTTGATTTTTCTGTAGAAACAGGGAGTGGTCATCATTTTAAAAGCTTTAGAGAGGTTTGAAAACTCCATTATGTCTGTCAGTTATGAGGGTCAACGAGAACCTTGGAGACAACAGTTTTCCTAGAGTGATGAAGGCAGAAGCCATATTACCATGAGTTGCCATTATCAAGTATTTTTAAAACATACTTGACCTTATAGTTCTCTATTAAATGTAAAAATAACATGACATCATTTTACTTTGCCTTGACCCACCATAATTTTCAAGTCTTTGTTAAGATAACCTGGGACTGTAGACACAGACTATGATTATCAAATCTCCTTGGTCCCCTCTGTCATCCACTTGAGTGAATACTGATAAAATACTCTCAGATCTTAAGCTGAGCACTTGTTTAAGCTGTTGTTTACAAAGGCAACAAAATTATAATGAGTCACTTTGCACATTTCTGTGGTTTACCAGGCATTCAAATAATCAAATCTGCTGTATTAAGAAAAGATCTTCCTGGGGCCAGCCCCAAAGCCAAGTGGTTAAAGTTCTGCATGCTCTGCTTCAGCAGCCCAGGGTTTGCAGGTTCAGATCCTGGGCGCAGACCTACTTCAATCGTCAGCCATGCTCTGGAGATATCCCACATACAAAATAGAGGAAGATTGGCATAGATGTTAGCTCAGGGCAAATCTTCCTCACCAAAAAAAAAAAAGAGATCCTCCCCAGATCCCTGGTCTTCTGAACATGCTTAACAATAAGAAGCAGTCTGTATTCTGTTTCTAGAAATAACTATGATATACTTCAACTTCAACCATTGAACAGACTTTTATGTCTGCCCTACCTATTGATAATTTCCCATGTACGCAATTTACAACTTCCCTTTGTCTTGCACTTCTGCATATGTAACATGGCTAGGAGCTGTCTCTGAGTGGACACCTATGGGGGAGTGGCGATGATGAGATGTCTACATGCATTGGCCACTGAGAGAATTTCAATATGGATTTATCCAAGCTATAGTAATTGAGAATTCCCATCAATCAGTCAATCAATCAACAAATAAATGTCTGGTTCACAGTCTACCTTATCAGAACCAAATCCTCCTTCAGCATATACTGATGCAGCCTAGGAGGGGACTCAGCCCAATGGATACTCTCTCCAGAGGCTGTGAATCTTGAATAAATGTCTCCAGGACAGCAGTACAGTGGCTTTTGACTGGACCCTTCTGTGGTGTGACCTTGACTATACTTCCTGCTGCCTGGCCCAGAATCTTGCTCCTGCCCATTCAAGTCTCCGTCTCTTGCTCCTGCTGATCTAGGTCTACACCATCCTTTAAGGAAATCGGTCAGTTTCTGTTGGATGCAGCCAAGAACACTGACTGATGCATCAGGTTCTCCATCCTGTACCCTCTTATCTTGCTCTGGAAACAGTCTCACCACTGAATATATTACCTCACTGCTGCTTACTCTCATATTTCTTTCTTTACAGCTCTACTTACATGTTCCTTAGGCACTTCAAATTCAGTATATGTCAAAATGAATTCATTATGCCCCTTCACCTACAACATGCTTCTCCTTCAGTAGGTACTATCTTAGTGACTGGAAT